ATCGGTGGCGAGTGCGAAGCGTTCAGCTTTGCTGAATGCTCCTCGCCCACCGTTGTGGTGTAGTAATTTCCACGGCAGCTCGAGCTACTAGTGTAGGTAGGGCAAACCCACAGCAATACGTCTACCAGTACGGTAAACGATCGTTTGGGGCGTGATCTGAAGGCCCAGACTCACCCAGCCGGTAGTGGATGATAATTAGTAAATAGACATGATAATGAATTTTCAAGATAAGTAGAAGCAATAGCAATGCTCTAAGGTATTTATATTTACTCGCCACGGGCGACTACGTACATTGGCAAAATCTTCGCCGTCACGAGAGGCGTCACTTTAAAATCAATGATGCACCGAGACCGCTCAAGACGCCGTAAGGGTCAATGACAGCAGGCAAATAATTTTCCTTATCACATTTTTTGCGAGTTGCTGACCTAACCTGGCATTTTAAATAGTTGTGCCCATCTTTCTTCGGTATTGTTAAAGCTATCTAACATTGCTATATTTCGTTTCTCAGAGTACATATCTATGTTTCGGGAGTCTTTCAAAATATCAGCTGGCTACAAAAAACCAAGTTCTCAGTACAGATGAAGGGCAGTCCCTAGTAGTTAAAGTATACCCACCGTGACAATTTGTCCTTAAATGAAACAAAACAAAACCTACACTCATAATATGAATTGTACTTGGTACTGGGGGTTATTAATCTCAGTACAACAGGATGTTTATGAATTTAAAGCGTTCACCGACAACCGAAGCGAGGTAGCAACAACTGTCTAAGAAGGAATCGTTCCGTACTAACACAATCAACTCTAAGCGAAGCGAGGGGGCTACACTTCATTCCAGCCACACCTGCATAGATAGCTCCATTTGTGGGGCTACACTTGGCTTGTATGGTAAGAAGATTATATTTTTTGTTCTGGATGCCCATGATGCACGTTCTGGCGTCGGTGCATCCCCTGCTTACTGTTCCAGTGTGGTTTGTAACAGCATTTCGAGCTGCCCTACAGCGTGGAACTGCCTAGCGGGCCAATGTTAGAGACAAGGAAACGAGGAGATAGAACACTTGAACAGAAGGAATCAGTTGGATAGTAATGCATCCATCTGTACTTGCACGTACTACTCAACGTAGTACCGAAAGGATAGTTCACGGACAGAAAATTCACTTTGTGGCCACTGACCAATGGCCAACGAGCCGATCCGATCCATCAAGAGACAGTCTAGAGAACTTGGGTTCGTAATTCAAGGAGATTTCTCATGTTTGTGAGTACCGCCAGAGCTCAAAACGAATGTGTGCATCCATTATTTCTGCAGTTGACAAATGTTTTGTTTCATATAGACTAGTAGTTATATCCTGTACAAAAACATGCTAGGTGTTGTTATTGCACTTCGGCGTCTATTTCGCTGGATGCCTACCGCTCGGCACACGTCAAACCCGTGCCCGACGCATGCCGCAGTTGAAGTGGCAGCAATGGTGCAATCTCATTGGAAGGTCATTTCGTATCCTGGGTTATGGTTGGACGACAACTTCAATTTGGTCAACCACAGGATCTTCAGTGGGAGAACAATCGTGACATGTGGCATTCCCGCTATATAGAGCGTGTCCTCCCCAGATTACGATTTATATGCATGATTGTATACAGGTGTGTCCGTCCCAGTATACTATTTGTATGCATGGACTTGCTATAGTAGGAGGGCACTATGAGCTGCATGGGTAGGAAGGGGTAAGCAGTACTATGACTTCTAACTGATTCCATCTCACTTTCAAATTTTCATTCATCTGCTCACATTGACAGCAAGCCTCGTTCGCATACTCTCACTTTAATGCACCAGAGAACACCCTGATCGCTAGATACACGTGCTCCACGCATGAGCGTATAGTCAATAGTCATGAGAATACGAGATATGGCCGTCAACAAATGTAACCCTTCCCCCATTTACAGACACAGCCAGCGATGTTTTGCCAACGTCACGTTGCTCTCGCTGGCTGAACTGAAGCGATGGATGAAAGGTTGTCAATCACGATGGGTCCACCAAATCTCGGACATACTACTCAAGCCACACGAATAACTCTAACATGAACTTGATTGTAATCTTCTTCGGATGGGTCAACCTTCACGGATAGTATACGTGTCCAAAAGGTTTGTATATAAAACATGTCAATAAAGTGAGAACGGTAATTAATCTATATTGTGTTGAGGCTAGGTGTTAATAATCAAAGGATTACAACGGCGTTACAATCCCGGGTAGGACAATGGTCTGGATATGAAATCCAGAGAGTTGGGGTCATCATTTTGCCGGAATAAGCATATCAAAACGAGCTATAGCAATCATAAACGTTTATCGCGCAGATCCGGATGACTTGTCGTAAAGAGCGAAAGTTTATTAATGAGGGACAAATGCTACGACCTTAACGCTATCACC